CCCGCAAGCTATTGAGGCTGAACTTAAGGGGAACACATCAATGTATGGAATTATATTCAGGATTTCCGGATGCCAACGGATCACCACAAAAAAGTAAAAGAAGGTAAAAAGCGACTAGTTACTCACAGAAAATGCCGAGTTACTGCCCGGTGTACCATAACCGCTAGTAGACGGCAGTGATGCGAGTGACCATCGGCGGTTATCGTGCTGCGGAGCCATCAATGAACTACCAGTACGTGACGAGTACGATCTGAATAATAGAAATTTAGCCCAAGAGTAGTAGGAGTTGTCAAAAATAGTTAATCATGATCTTTCTTCAAGCATCTCTTACGCCTTAAAAGAAACCCCTTCAAGTTCTCCCCGCTTTTCATATCCTCGTTTTTCTTTTCAACTTACTCCTTGTGAACCTATATGCATGCCGTTAGCGTTAAAGTGAGCGATGGCGCCAGGAGACAGTATGCGGCAACCTGCAAGAGTACTTGACTGCCATACCTAGAGTAGCTGGTCTGTTCCGAGATATCAAGACTCGGTACAGGGTGATCGGAGCAGACCAAATGCCCTAGATAGGCAGTCAACTACTGAGTGATGCCTTGCACTGTAGCGTAGTCTGCCGTTGGAGACACATTCCGCGGTTGCAAGTGGTGGATGGTACAATTCAAATGTGGATTTGTAGGCGCCTAGAGATTTAACAGTCAATGAAAAGAAGCAAAAGAACCTTTGCCCACGTTGAGAAGGGCTCTGCGGGCGCAGTTCGGCTACCGAGGGGGGGGGCACCTCTCACTTTTGCTACTTCCCATCGACATGTTGACCCATCTAGAGAGCCTTTTCGTGAGTTGACAGGTTTCACCATGGTGGCTCGGAGCTTGCTCCAGCTTCTTAGGAGTTCACAGGTTTCATCAATGTAAGGCATGCAAACCAGAACTACTGAACAACAAAAAAGCAACATGCCCTCCCCCCCCCGTCGCCGAAATGCACCGGGCTGTGCGCATCCCACGGCAAATTGGGGCCTAACTTGAGCACTTCCTATCCAGTTAATGGCGTGTAGTCCACGCATTGGAATCCGCTTCAGCGTCAAATGATGGCACAACGTCCACATTCTCCACGTCCCTTAGACAGTGATGGTCCACTTTCCAACGGCAACCGACCAGCTTTGATCAGAACCGTTGGCGAAAATTCGGCCTTTGGGCCCATACCTATTTCATAAAAGGATGTCTACGATTAGGGCCCTGCCCTAGCAGCATTAACAACAGCATAACTGCCTTCCTAAAATTCGATTTCTTGAGCACATTTTCTGCAGGAACCTCAGCCAATTCATCACAGGGCCTTCAGAGGCAGCGCCAGCTCACCAGTTCGACTGCACTTCAACTCATGCATGATATATTACTGGTCCGCAGGGGTAATCCTCTATGGAGAAACTGAGAAATCATCAGTAATTCTCGCGGGAACTGAGAAGGCAAAAGAATCTCTGTCCTCTTAAGAAGCTTCCAGTTTTTCTCTCCAGACTGTCCTCGGTAAATAGGATTCCAATTGTATCAGCGTGATAGGATCAGTAATTTCTCGGGCGAAAAACGGCATGTGGGGGGGGCATTCGTATTCCACTTCTCGCTGATACTCTTCTTATAAGAAACCATCAAACGCGGATTGACATCGTGAGTCGACGCCTCGGTGGCGTGACCGCAACCACTGCCAAGGCCTTTTGCGTAGCAAAGTTGCGCCCTTGTTCCAATGGCAACCTGTGCGGATACGGCAGTGTAGTGACATTACCTGGCCGCGCGCGACCCAAGCGGTGCAACCTCGTCACGTTAAGATCGTCCATCTCCCCTAACAGCATCAGTATGGATGGCTAGCAAGACAAGACAGTTTGACCTGCACGCCACTTTCGAGTTCTTCCTATGAGACGAGATTATGTGAAGAGGAATCCCTCCAAGTTCTGCAAAAATGGGTAAAATATGCCACCTTCTAGGATAGCACATCCCGATTGACGCACCAGTATAGCTTTTTATGAGTTTTCAATCAAGGCTATCTCTTACAATCGGAAATTGCATGCGGTATTAAATTTCTGAGCAACTGAATTGAGGCAAGATGAAGGGAATAAAATACGCGAATAGCCAAAAAAAAATTACAAGGAAAAATTCAAAAGAAAATAGACGTTTTCGCTCCTGAAAACTCAGAACGGATGGACTTCCAATAAGATTCACCTTAGTGGCACTCCAACAGGTGCTGTTGTTCTGGAACTGCTCGCACCGCCATTACTGGCGGCCGTGGCACGAACTGGACTGTGACCTCGTGGTGCCAACACCGGCGACGTGGACGTGTTCAAACTTCGTCGAGCTGCACTTGACCGTGTCGTCTGTGAAAGCGTCTGCACATCCTTCTGAAAACACAATGTGTCAATTCGAAAGTTTTCACGAAAATGAGGGCAATAATTCAGTACTCCTACTATCCCTCGGGAAATCATGTTCACCGCGTTCAGTGGCATAAGAGGACTATAAAATCACTTCCAACAGCAGCGCTTTCCTGCCGTAAAATCAATGTCCACAGCCACTCCCCCAGCTCATTTTCCAGTTAAAACATTCATATTTTTAAAAAGTTAAAAGTCGCATCATTCTGAAATAAAAACCCTATCACAGTATCGAAAGCTCGCTCGAACTTTCAATATTGGAATATGAAATTGAGCGAGCTTCAAATATTCATCGATAGTCCTATTCCGAAAGTAAATGTCGTGTTGCGGTATTTAAGCTCGGCTTGCGCGTTTTGGAAATAAACAAACGTTATTATTAAAGAAATATAAATAAAACTAGATAAATCAATAAACATACAGTCAGATAAACAAGTAAACAAGTGAATCAATAAGATTGAAGGCATTGCAAAAGCCTCCCATTGGATATCCAAGCTTTTTCAGTCCCTACTCTTACTTTTTTCTTTGTAAATTTAAATTTTTTGTGCCATTCCCAACGAGCAGTGTAGACATCCCATGGCATTCGATTGCACTCTTCTATTTTAGGCCATCGCTGTAACATGAGAGGCAATCATTGATTCTCGGACAAAAAATGCCTCAAATATCCCTCGTCCTAGAGGTATCATATTTTATGTCCGCCTTTCGGATAGCGTTCCCCTTTTCCCTTCATAAGGTGAGATCTTTGCTATTCAGAGGTAACCCTGAACCAATAACCCTCACTCCGAGTGGATAGCTTGATTGTATAAAACAAAAACAATAGTGGTACGTCCCCCCGGTGGAGAAACTTTTCACAAAATGCGACCCTTCCCCTTGAAATTTCCACCTCTACCACGAGCTCACTTCTTATATCCCCCTTCTGCTAGCCTTCCCCAATCTTCATCAACTTCCTGCTGATTTTCCACTTCAATTTTCCGAATGTTTTCCCACTGCCGTCCAGCGAGGGAGGGTGGAGACGCAGGGGTGAGCGCTCCTGAAACAGAAGGGGAATCCTCTTCCCTCCAACCTCACCCCTCGCTAGGGATCTCCGACGTACCGCGTTCCTTGAAAACAATTTGGGAGGTCGTATTTGGTCGCTCAAGTGAGGGGGTGGTGCCTTCGAGGAACATGTACATGTTTGCGGTCACGGATTCTCTCCGACTTTTTTTCCGTTTCACTAGCGCTATATATCTCCCGTTCGACGGCCGTAGCATTTCGTTGCTGGGAATCCAGGACAAGGGTCGTATTGAGGCCCAGGAAAAAATTTTTGATAGTTGTTTGTTTCAGGGACGTTGGGGGTCGTATGGGAAGGGTGGGTCGTATTTGCTATAGTATTTATCCCTCCCCCGCTCGACAGCTCGATGAGGAGGGAACTAGGGGAGGGCTCGTACTAACCCCCTAAAAAGTGGGGGTGGGGGTCGTACGAACTCGATCGAAATCCCCAACCCATGATGTGTCCAGCTTGCTGGAGAAAGGTGGAAAAAAAATTTGGAAAAAATTCCCAGAAAAGTGGTATGAAGTTGGGAAACCTTACAGGTACGTAGGATGAGGCTGCCAAAGGTGGGGCGGGGGGGGTTGTACCAGAGGGGAAAATTTTGAGAAGGATGGTAATTTGCGAGAATTTCTGCGGACGGCGGGGCGTGCTCCTAACGTCTTGAGGAAGGAAGGAAGCTGGCATGCTTGCAAACCAGCAGTCAGCACGGGCATTTTTTTTAAGATTTTTTCGCCCGACATTCATTCAAATGCACAGCCACACATGCATTTTTGTCAGCTCAAGCTGTCGTATCCACAGCGATGAGTGGAATTCTAAACGACTACTGGCAGATAGCGCTGCAGTAGTGAGAATTGATAGAAAACGAACGTCAGGCCATCATGCGAAAACAAGGGCGATCTCGTTTACTCGTTGCGGCATACGATAATGTCATCCAATTACAAGCTTCAGTAGATAGCTAAAACCCGTAGAAATTGCGCAACAACAGAACCAAACATTGCTGGAAACTCACAGCCTAAAGGTCATTGGATCTTTCGGAGAAGAATGTAAAGCTCCCTTCACAAGAACTTCCGCCAGGTCGCGTCATGCATTATCTCGTTATGCCCTTATCGACTGCGCATAGGCCCGTGGATACGTGACGTCAGCAGTCAAAGGCCGGCAACTCTATCTGATGAAGCTGAGACGTCCGGAAATGCCTCTAGGGAAACGTGATTTACACGACTTCTCCATGACAAAGTCCCTAACTTCTGGCAGTAGCGTTTATTCCCTCCCCCTCCTCGGTATCCTCATGGGTCGTTGAAACTCCAAATAAATCAAAATTAAATACCAACGAACTCTGAAACTAAAAGGAAGGACTGAGAGCCCCCGATGAAAAATTGCCCAATAGCCCAAACCACATGCATGGCCTCTGAACTACATCCTGCTTTCCAAAAAGCCGAAAAAAAACAGCTAAAACAGTAAAGACCGTACATTTGTATGGAAATAAAATTTATAAATATTTAATAATAAGAATCTATCATGAATACACCAGTAGAACAAGGCCCATGCAGAGCTGCTAAGCGACCTAGCTTTATGTGAGCACATTCTCAAAAATCACCCTAACACTAAACCGCTCTCAGCTGAGTAGTCGGAACTTGTTTCGGGACCACTCCCTTGCAAGGCAGTAGAGGCTGGATTGCAAGTGGAACAGTAACCACTGAAAGAAGAGCTCACCAAAATCTGTCAGAAATATAGAAGATTCCGTGCAATGATGGATGAGAGGGGTCCGGCTGCAGCGCTTTTATGCCACGTCACCTCTGCTTGTCTGCACCCTCTCATCGAATGGGTAGGTGACGCGTAACATCCACTTGAAAAGACGCGGCAGGACGATTCATAAAATAACATGGCATCAGGGCACGTTGCACGTTAGTAATCCCCACCAAGCGGTCGTATTTGGCCACATGGAGAAGGGAGGGTCACAACTGACTTTGAGGGGAATATTCTCCAACTTGTTTTCTGCTGAAAATTCGAAGAATGGTTGCTGGCTTCTCGTTTTTTTCCTGTTTCAACGCTCTGTCCCCAGCTCTCCTCCCCTTCCCACACGACAGCAGGTTTTTGGAGAAACTAAAGAGTCTTGGGAAAGAACTCCGACAAAGTTACAGGATGGTGGGAATGGTGTGAGCTTGTCAGTATGCAGGAAGATAGGTATGATGGGGATGCGGCAGTTAGGTCGTACCAGAGGAAAAATCATTGAAGATAGTATTTCGTAGTCATGTCCTGCATCTCACAGCCAGGCTTTTGCAAGGCATCTCCTACCCTTGCCACGAAAATTCGTGAAGTAGGGACGGAAAATAATGTTGGGTGAAACCATGAGGGTTCAATATTCTCCAAAATGTGATATTACGCTTCAGCTTGGGATGGCGATCCTTCCAACCCAAGTACTGAAGACCTCGATGACGTTACGCTCTTGAAAAAAATCCGGTTGTACTTTACTCGAAAAAGAAATGAAAAAAGGCTCGCCATTTTTCACATGCAACCCGACCCACTAACCATAACAATTTCTCATGTCCGTCGTGTGGTATCTGGTGCCTTGGAGGACGGCACATGCCTTTCCTTATATCCCAGTACCACGTACGTTTCTTACAAACATGCGACGAGGGATTGCCAGCGAGATGAACGTATTGAAAGAGGTTTGCACTTTGAAGAATGGTGAAGCCATCGCAGGTTCACCAAAAAAGTACCCAGTAATAATCACTAGGCTTGGTTATCCCTTGAAATGTCACATGATGCCAGGACAGCAAACGCCCTTAATGGGCTTTTGCAAAAAACCCCGAATGAATGGCTCAGAAAAGGTCCCAATTTGAGATGTTTCCGGGAAGCCTCATCATTTACCTTTAGCTGTTTGGCTTGGGATGGCCTTTTACACTTTTTCTACTTCCCTTTTACTAGTTCCTCGCAAAATACACGTAACACCTTGCGCTGGGATCGACCCTTGTCAAGTGCAAAAGATTCTTGATTTTACTTACTTCACAGGATTTTACAGGTCTCCATAGGGAGGCACCGGCCGTGATCGATGGGAATGAGGAAATGCCCCCATCAAGATGAATTGCGCCCATCTACCTTGTAATCTACCTCAGACACATTTATTTGAAAATGCTATTAACCTCCCAGTAGACGTAGCTTTAGGCAAATAAAATATAGAACTAGTCGCAGATCGGCTTGGTAGGGGCTCAGGCAAGCTTGCACGCGCCACCTGTAACCCTTATACAACCTGTAAATTCTTTGTAACCAAAGCGGCTCATTTGCACCATTTCGCAGCTTCACAGAAGTTAACAGGACTTACCACAATTAGACCTGTGTCTACATGAAGTAACAACAGCATTTAGCGAAAGCGCAAAATGCCCCCTCCAGGCCGGAGTGCGCCTTGAAATATAAGTAATATATATTTAGTCAGTTCCAATATTTAAATTTCAAAATGGAAGTAAAGTCTATAATAGGCAGGCAATAGGAACTTTAATCATATAGAACTAGCTTAGGAAATCTTCTGCATAGACTTGCAGCTGGTTTAATTTTTCTTACTGTAGAGCATCCTTTTCGAGGTAATTAACGTCCGGATGCCGTTACACCCCCAAAATAAACCCATCCTGATGTCAACGTGAAAGACAAGAAATCCAATAAACGCCTGAATAAGCATCCCATCGAATTTCAAATAGAGTAAAGCAAACATTGAGCGTTTCGAGGCTTCAGTATGAATTATTAATGACTACTGCCAAGCGAGCTCCCGAGTAAAAAAAAAACAAAAAAAAATACCAAAGCGCCAACGGACCCTGAGTTGTGTGACCGGTGACAGGCAGCATGGTGATAGGGGTGGTGCAGTTGTATTGGCACCCATGGCAAAACAGCTCACTGACCGTCCTACGGTGCCTTGAGGTGGGTCCTTCTGACGGGAACGTCGTCCTGCTTCCGTGAGTCGAGCGAGCATCGTAGGAAAACGTCGCCATGGACTTTCTTCAGCGCCCGACGAGCCAAACGTCGTTGTCGTCGAGCGACGTCCCGAGAACATCTCGAGCACAAC